TATATATTTTTCATGTTGATTACCTGGGTAGTCTGTATGTGGTGTGTAGATAGTCGATAGATGGTCAGCAAAGAGTTCAGCCTTTTCATTGTCAGACACGATCCTAGAACCATCCTCTTTTCGTAGTGGCGCAGGCACCTAGCGATGCTTAAGTAGCTTTTTAGTTAGTCTCCATAAGCTTCCATCGTCGGTGCTGAGGTTATTTATAAAAGTATCATAGTTAGTTTGTTTGAATTTTTTTATTTGTCGTTTTAGTTCATTATTTATTGAGTTATATATCTGTCTATCCGATGGTAGTCTGTCAGTCTACCATACCTTTCAAGCTCTTGTCTTGGCTCTGGTCAAATTCCTTATACACTGTGGGTAGTTATTTATTTGTTTATGTTTCGGAATCGATGAGATCCGTTTAAATTCCTGGATGTTCTTTGTTAGTATTTCGACGGCTTCTTCGATTTCGTTTTCATTTTTTAGTGAGAGAGGAACTGAAAATCGTTGATTTAAGTTAGCTTGAAAACAATTCCAATCTATGTTTCCTTGAATAAGTGACGGGCGTTCTTCTTTTTGACATGGTTCTTCAAAAAGAACCAAGTGTAGAAGGGAATGATCATAGCATAGATCACAGCTAGATTTAACTGTGTATGGTATGGCCTGTAGTCCTTTAGTAATGATAAAGTCCAGGTCAGGTGATTTCTACCTCTTGCAGAGCACAATCGCGACCCCCATAGTTGGTGCTTGGCATTGTAGTCGCTACCAGCAATGAAACACCTGACAAACTCTACTTTCGTAAATTTTTACTTAAGTAAATTTTGTCCAGTTTATTATGGAGCAATTTTTTATTACTTAAATCAAATCAATAAATCTTAATCTTTTTTATCCCTCCATTATAAAATCCTTAAATTACTCACATCCCAAAACCCATATCCATACTTATTTTGGATGCGAATGTTGTTAGAAATCATACAGACGAACTATCTACTTTACTACTTGACAAGAACATTGATGTGACACTAATTACTGAAACTCGACTAACCACTAAAATCTCTTAAAAATACCACAATACTTGACATATCGTACTGACCGTCCTGACGGTAGAGCACATGCCGGAACTGCTGTCATTGTACACCAATGACCCCATCACCTACTCAAGATTTCCTACAATCCACCGCTATTGTAATCAAAATCTTCTCCTTTTCCGTCACCAGTACCATCCGTACCATTGCCCTCCTAACAGATCCATATCCAATGAACATTTCAGTTCTTTCCTTAACTCCTTAGGACATCACTTCATCCTGGGTGCAGACTTAAACGCAAAGCATCAAGAATGGGGTTCAAGAACCACGAATTCTCGTGGTAGATCCTTGCTGCCTGCACTCAATTCTCAAAGTTTCAACCTTCTTCCTTCCAACTCAGCTATCTACTGGCCAACTGATCCTAACCGCAATCCTGATATCCCCTCAATCATTCCCTTACCCGACTTGACGAACTTTCCTCAGATCGTAGTCCATTAGTACTCTAATTATCGAAAATAAGAAATCAAACTACTGTAATTTGATTACAAATAAACTTCAAAATATAAAAAAATAGTAGTGAATTCTGGAAAGATATCAACTCCCTCAAACCAAAAAACATACAAACTTGTGAAATAGATATTGATAAATGGGCAGAACATTATGAAAAATTATATGGACCAAAACTGATACAAGAAGCACTTTTCTTTTCGGTAACCCACCTTTTTTTAGACCCGCCGTTTTCATTAGAGGAACTCCAGCAAGTAATAAAATTAAATAAAAAAAAAGAAATCACCCGGTCAGAACGACATCATATATGAGTTCTTCAAAAATTTAAGCCCTGAATGGGAACATTACATATTAAATCTTTTTAATAAATTATGGAAACCGAGAAACTCCAGTTGCCTGGTCAAAATTAAACTTAATTTTGATGCACAAAAAGGGTGACAAAACAGACGTAGATAACTACCGCGGAATCTCATTGATAAATAACATAATTTACATGCATTTTAGATCAAAGGATTCAAGTTTGGACTGAAAGTGAAAACCTAATTCCAGAAGAACAAGCGGGATTTCGAAAAGGAAGAGGCTGAATTGAACAAAGTTTCTCGCTGATGTCACTGATCAATATTAATCTCCAAGCGAAAGGTAGCTATGTTTATCCAACGTTTTTAGATTTTAGGAAAGCGTTTGACTCCATTAACTTTGAGCTGCTTTGGAAAAGTTGTTTGATTTCGGAATCAGTGGGAAGATAATGAGTCTTCTTAAAGCCTTGTACGATACAGCAACAATGCAAATAAAAATTATGAATGAGATATCAGGCGAAATAAAAATCAGTTCAGGACTATTATAAGGTGAAACTTTAAGCCCGATTCTATTTGTTATATTTTTCTCAGACATTATATCTTACTTTGAAAATAGCGGTTTACCTAGAGTCAAAATGAAGTCCTAATTCTCCTATTGGCAAACGACATTGTAATGTTAAGTAACTCGTATCATAGCATCAAAAAGAAACTTCAGATCCTTGAACGGTATTGCACACAAATTCACCGGTCTAAAACCCCGAAAAATCAAAAGTTCTGGTATGGCATAAGTTACCAAGAATGAAAAAACTGAAGTCACTGCTTTGGCAAAATAAACCCTTGGGATTTACAAAATTTTATAACTACCTAGGAGTTCCATTTTCAACATTGGCAAAATTTTCTAAGGCTGCTAAACACTTTATCTAGAGATAAAATGTTGCTGGAGCAAACGTACGTGAGATTTTAATTAGAGGAAAGAGTAATGCATGGGAAACTAAAATGGCTCTCTTGGATTCAATGGTCTTCTAAACTCTTATACATTCGAAGTTTGGGGCTTAAGATATTTTTAATCGATCAAATTAGCTCAAGTGAAAATCCTCAAGCAATTATATTTTTGGCCCAGATCAACACCTAATTATATAGTACGATTGGAAATCGGACGTTCGCCCATTTTAATGGCAGTTTTAAAGAAAACTATAAATGTTTGCAAATACTTGTGGCTGTGGAAACTATGCAGCCTAATCTCATATTCAACTGGATATCACAAGTTAAGAAGTTAGCTGCTTCTATTTTCAAGAGTACTTCAACGATTTCTCGGATCCAAAGATATTAATAAACAAAAAAAAAATAGTTTGACAGTTGTATCTAATAACTTATATTCTGAAGACATTGAATGCGCCATTAATTCCAACTATAATCACATCTATAAGCGAATCTGTTGCTATAATTACCCAGAACCGCAAAACTACCTCAAATTTATTATTGCTCTACGAAAGTTGCAAACAGTGGGTCGACTACGAGTTTCGAGTAATGATTGCCTGGCGCTGTATCATGGGAATATCGCTCATGTTTTAAGGGTTGATGAAGTTTGTAAGTGGTGCAGTCACTTTATCACTAATGGCATAAACCATTTAATCCTTGAATGTTCGCTTGTTGAGATTCATAGAAAGAGATATCTCGATAAATATATCAATGCGGGCACGGATGACTTATCATTGGAGAGATATTAAAAGTCTTGAACAATGTGTTATACTTTATTGTTCATATTTTTAACTCCTATAGTTTACTTAATAATCCGTAACTTTGACTAATTCGTGTGTTAGTATATCATGTAAATATAACGCATATTTTCTTAACCGTTAAAATGGTAACAAATACATAGCATTATAGCGACCTAAAGTATATTTAAGTTTATGTATCACTGTTTCTTATAAAACTTGTAATTTTTTTCTGTTTTAATTAGGTTTATTTTGTTAGATAGCCTACAGTGAAACTTAGTTTACATTGATCCGAACAATTTTATTGCATATTAACGTATTTATCTTTTTTCCTTCTTATATTGTCCTCATGTATTATATCATACTTGTTATTTACAAACTAACATTGATTAGGCCATACTCCATGGCTATGCTGTTTATAAGCCATTAAATAAAAAAAAAAACCTAAGTTTTCATGTAGTCCCTTGGATTTTGAATTAGAGTTGACTGTTTAATTTTTAAAATAAGCAATGTTCATATTTCTGGTGAATGGAACCTCAATATTAGCTGTGAGCCCTAATTTACCCAGTCTGCATGACTTGAATTGAAGCTGCTAATTCTACTGGGTACAAACTATCATTTAAGATTATTGGTAGCTTTAGATTGATCAGTTGAATGAATGTATTATTGGCTCCTGAACTACAAAATCAAAACAGGTTACCCAGTTTCTATTTAAATTGTTTTAAATCCTTATACCAATTTCCTTTTTAGTTTCTTAGCATTGGAACATAGATATCTTACTGTATATTTTTACTATATGAAAATTCAGTTTATATCCAATTAGTATGCTGTTCTGATCTAAGCTGGCAGGTCAAGGTCAGGGAAATGGTTTAGCCAATTACGAGAAATCTTTGATATCTAGTGCTACCACCATCTCCCAATAAAATAAAAATATAATTTAGTTGATGAGATAGAAGTGAAGGATATCTAAATTTTTTTTTACCAGAATTTTTTTTTTAAATGATTCTAAATAAGTGGTGGGTACTTCACTAAGGGCTGTTATAAAAACAGGAGGAATAAAAATTGCTTTATTCAAATAGAGTTTAAGACTATAAAATTACTATATACATGTACTCCCAGAAGTTGTAAGTTTTTCTGCTGAAATCCACCAAGATAGTAGATTTAACTATGACCTGGACCAGACAGCTATAATAAACAGATCCTGTTTTACCACTGCTGAACATCTCTGTGCCAGTGTTTTCCTATTAAATATACAATTAGCCTAGCTATTTCAGTATATTTAGTGACCCGATTCTTTGGTTACCCAAATAAGTTTTGAAAATAACTAAATATTGTACAAATAATCATTGACAGGTTGAATTCTTAAGAAGATATTCAACTAATGTAAATATATAGTTTTGTAGTTGAAATAATGTTTCATAAGATAAGCCAATAAAAAAAAAGAAGAAAAAAGGAATATGATACAAATTGTTGAATTTTTAAAAAATTTATTTGTTTTACAATGTTACAATTGGGTAAAAAAAAATTGTTCCATAGCAAAACAAAATTTAAATAATAGCTGGTGGATGTAATTCGATTCCCATAGTCTTAATATCAGAAGGAATAATTTCATCTTTAGGATTGACAACACAAACGTTGTCAGGCAGAGGATTCTTAGGTCCATTCTTTCCTGTTGGATCCCATGGTAACATAATTTTAACTTTGATACCAAGTACTCCTAAAACAAGTAAAAAAATAAAAATAAATGGAGGATTTACAATATAAAACCAGGAACTATCAGTCATGGCAATACAAATTCTAAAAGTAGTGAGTGAGTGAGTAAGGAACGCCAAAATAAAAAATAGTAATAATAGTTTTGATAAAAATTGCAATAATAATTCAACTAAATTGGAAAAGCATAAAAAATGAACAAAACTTACATATATATAAAAAAATGATTTTAACTTACACATCTAAATATAATATTAAATTACCTTGTCTCAATAATACATGGCGGGTAGCTGAATTTACATATTCATTACATGGGTCACCACTGTGGATCATAAGGCCATCAACAAATTTCATGGACTTAGCTCTTTGGCCTCTAAGTTTTCCTGAAACTACTACTTCACACCCTTTGGCTCCATTTTCCATGATGAATCTCAGAACTCCATAACAAGCTCTGAAAAATAATTTTTTAACTGTATCTCAAGATATGTAACTTTTAGGGGTGAGGTTAATAAAATGTTAGCAAACATAATTACAGTTAAGTAATAATTGTAGATAAGTTATAGCAAAAGTATAATGAAAGAAAATTTAACCATGAGCCAATGAAATGATTATTCATTTTGAATACCTACCAAGACTTACTTAATTAGTGATTGGTCATTGAATTTTAAATGAATTAAAAATTACTTTTATTCTAGAAGTAATTTCAGGCTATACTAAAAAAAAAAAACCTTTTTGTTCAAATTACAATAAATTTATATTTCCTTCAGCCAATTTATTTCTATTAGTCTAAATCACAGTCTTCTTTACTGCCAGACACCACATAATGAATAAAGACAACAGTTTCTCCAGCAATTCATCTCAGAATCTAATGATAATCGCAACATTCAAGCCATACTGAGTATTGATAGCGTAGAGAAGTTAAATAAAGTGTATTGCTACATGATGAGATTATATAAAGCACTAAAATATCCTATGTTTTATTCTTTATAATAGGACGTATAGAAAAAAGAAGACCGTTTTATCAAATTCAAGATTTCAAAGAAATATAGATAGAAAGATAGAAAAATAACTTTATTCTGGGACACAGTCCCTTGAGAATAACAAAATTAAAATATTACATCTGGCCAAAATAAAATCAATCGAAAAAAAGAAATAATGTAAAAAAAAATAAGGTAAAAATTCTATATACAAAACAAACTAAACTATATACAAAACCATTAATACTATGACAAGACACTTAAAGCTATTTGCTCTTATAGACCAGTATACACTTTTCCGAAAAAAATAAAGAATTAAAAAATAAAAATGTATCAAATTCTCTATTAAAATCCGCTCGAATGGTTAGCAAGTATCTGACTGTTTTTGTGATAGGAATTGGAATAGGAGGGATTTGAATGTGGATATGGAGGGGGAATGTCGAATTTTGATAGGAAGGGAATTCCAGAAATTGACGGAGCGAACAATAAAGGAATTTTGGAATGAGGCAGATCTGTGAGAAGGCATGTAAAGGTCAGAAGGTCGAGATCTTGTGGACAGGGAATGGACTGAGGATTTGAGCTGGAGAAGGTTGTAGGCGTAAGAAGGACGATGGTTGTTGATGATTTGGTAGAGGAACGTACCTAGAAAATATTGTCTTCGGAAGGAGGGGAAGAGCCACCTTAACTCATTGTAGTGGTGAGAGACATATTTTAATCCTATTTAATACTACAAAACTCCTTTAGAGCATTCTCTAAGCTTGTTTAATCTCATTTGACTTTGTCAAAAAAAGCCTTGGTTTAGTTATTTGTTTCAAAGAAGAAACATGAGTGTCCTACAAAATTAACGTTATTTTAAGGCATTACTGGAAAAATCATTTCACAGCCTCTGAAGCAACTAGCCAAATTATTAAATATGAAAAGAAAGGTGTCCTTGACCAGCGCATTGGTTTGAAAAATTTACCAGTGGAGATATGATGTTGGAAAGGAAGAAGGGCTCCAGGTGACCATTAATGGTTATTGATGAGGTTCTGCAGGAAGTGTGGTGTATCGAAAGATACTGTTAGTCGCCATCTACTCTCCATGGGGAAGCTGAAAAAGAGCAGTAGACTGGACTCTCACGAACTTACTTCTCACTAATCAGCTAAGAGGTTAGAAATTTGTGAAAATTTATTGAGAAATCCTTCTGATATGAGATTTCACCACAAGATTGTCACCTGTGATGAAAAGTGGGTTTAATGGCAAAATCCGAAACCCCGTAAGCAATGGCTAGATCATGGTCAAACTGCTTTTCCAGTTGCTGCAAGAGGGCAATATGAAAAATATCTATGCATGGTTGTTTTTTTTTTTTTTTTTTTTTTTTTTTTTTTTTTTTTTTTTTTTTAGGTGTTCTTTATCACGAATTTGTTCTTGATGGATGCTCTATTTACTCTGAACTCTACTGCAAACAACTGAAAAGATTGCACACCAAGTTGTCAGAATGTTATGCATTCTCATCAATGTTATGCATTGATCAACCGAAAAGGAATTTTATTCCAACAAAATAATGTCCTCACACTTCCCGTCGAACCAAAGAAAACTTTCAAGAACTTCATAGGTTCGGCCTCCTGCTTCATCCACCATATAGTTCAGACCTCGCACCATCAGATTACTACTTATTTAGATCCATTGACCATTTTCTTCAAAGAAAAAATTTGATAATTTTGCAGAAGTTGAAATTGCTGTTCAAGAGTTCTTTAATAGCCATCCCAAAGAATCGTACCAGCATGTGATTGAGTAATTGGCAATCAGATGGCTAATGACGGTAGATAAAAATGGACTATACTGGAGTATAATTGTATTTTATATCAAAGAAATAATAATACAAATATTTGGTTGAAAAAGGGCCATTTTTATTACACACCTAATTATTTTAAGTAAAAAGTACTAGACCAATATTATTATTATTGATTATGTTTCTTTTTCAAGCTGTTGGTATGTAATTTGCATAGGACATTTTCTTTCTCAAATAAAGATATATTCTATTCAGTACATTTTTATACTAAGACAAGCTTTTTATCATAATTGATAAAAACCTCATAAAGAACTAAAATTTTAACAATAAAAACAGATACATTAAGTCTATATCCTCTCACTCAGGAGTTAACTCTTTGTGGAGAAAGTAAGATCAATTATATTCGTGGACCTTGTGATAGGTCAGATTTGACCCCACGTTGACCCTCAGGATTGCGAAAATAGAAACAGAAAGAAGTACCGTTTTAGATAAAATTATAACAGTATACAATCCAAAATTGAAGTAACATTCAAATAATACACATATGACCAAGTTATTGCTTAATCCACTAATCTACCTAAGCTCTGTTAAATTTATTTAAGACAATATATGAGCTTTTCTTTAACAACTAAATTTAAAAAACATTAATTTAGTTTCCAAACACATACCTACGGACAGCCAGACCCCCTATCAACTTGTACCTCAAAGATTCAGCTTGAGCAATAGCACATAAACCTCTAGTTGGGACTTTTTCAGCATATAAATCTAAAGATTGTGGCTGAAAGTTAAATCTCTTTTGCACAACTGAAGTTAATTCTCTAATACGCCTTCCTTTTTCTCCTAGAACACTTTGAGTTCTGGTGGCCATAATAATAATTTCAGTCCTGCTAGGAGTTTCACGGACCTCAACACCAGAATAACCTTCTTCAGCTAGTTCTCTGGTTAAAAACTCATTCAATTCGGCTCTAAATACTCCATCTGCCACAAACTATAACAAAAGATATTTTTAAATACAAAATATAGGAGTGAAATCATTATCATTATTGTTGTTTTAAATTAGTCAATGACACCTTTTTTATTATCATAAAACAAGTTTAGTCATATCAATAGTTCAGTTTCTACAAGAACATTACTTTACAAAATAAAACAATGGTACTACTTTATAGTGTACTTCATAAAGGGCACAAGAGCTCATGATCACACTATAAATAGAATTCTGAGAATGGCCTAGTATTGATGTGTTGACAAATATAACCTCCTTTTATCTATATACAGATTTAAGAGTTTCAGTTAAAATTAGAGCCTTAATTAGTTTAAATCATATCACTGTTTTGCACTTCAGTTGAGATAAACACATTAGGTGTACAGTCATCTCTCTACTTTCATAGCCCTGGAACCAGGGGAGAAAAAAATCGGCCTGATCGCAGGCGAAGGTTTGAATGTAAATTACGAAAGTGTATGTCATTCTGAGTAAAAAGAACCTCATCTAGTGTTCCAGAGCCGCTGTGTTAAAAAATGGCAGCTGATTTAGAGAATATTAGGCCAGTAATTGAAGGATTGGAATGGGAAATCCATTGCAAAAAATGTGAGAAAAGTTTTAATTTTTTAACTTGTATATAAGAGTTTAAACATGCAAAAAACAAAATTGCTAACGCGGGCCTCCAAGGGAATACTTTTTACAGCCAAAAAAAGTCAGATTTTGTAGATACTATTTTTTTTTCGCTTTTTCACCTTTAACTTATGAACGATGCATCAAAGCGAAAAATGTACTCAATAAATTAATGAACGTTAAATTATGCGTCAAACTAGTACATAAACTTTAAAATTTGGTTACGCGGTAAAGTATAAAACCATGGCCAACCAACGCTGATTGTATCAAATTTCTCAAAACTTAGACAAATTACTATTCCTGTAACTTGAAAATGAGGTTGCTAGGAGAAAAAACCCATAGAATCAAAGTTGTAGAGTATCAAATTTTGTGTCCACAGAGTACTGACATTTTCATTGTAGGTGGATAATATATCTTGAATCGGGATTCGTTATTCCTTTATGAAATTCGATATCTTTCGACACATGGTTTATCAAAATGCTTGGCTGATGAGATGTGGAAAAGAGGATCATACTGCATGTAAAAGACTTTAAACAAAAATAACTTAAATAGATACCAAGTAGAATAGATACCCATACTGTTGAAATATTGAAAATCACGTTTACCTTCAGTACCAATTTCTAACCATCGGGAGATTACCAATTTTGTTTGAAGTAAATGATCTACATTAAATTAGTTAATACTCACTGGACGCAGAATTTGATGCTCTACAACTTTGATTCTATGGGGTTTTCCTCTTAGGGAACTAATTTCCAAGCAATAGGGACATTTATAGTAATTTGTCTCAGTTTTTGACAAAAATCAGCATTGGTTGACCATGGTATATACTTTACCTTGGAACCAAATTATAAAGTTTATGTACTAGTTTGACACATAATTTAACGTTCTTTAATTTATTGAGGAGTACATTTTTTGCTTTGATCTACTGTTTAGAAGTTATAGGTGAAAAAGCAAACAAATATCTACAAAATCTGACTTTTTGCTTAAAAAGTTTTTCCTTGGTGGCCCGCGTTAGCAATTTCGTTTTTTACATGCCTAAACCCATATATACAAGTTAAAAAAAAAAAAAACTTTTTTCTCACATTTTCCACAATGGATTTCTCGTTTTGATCCTCAAATTACTGGCCTAATATTCCCTAAATCAGTCACCATTTTTGAGAACAGCGGCTCTGGAACGGGAGACAAGGTTCTTTTTGCTCAGAATAACAAACACTTTCGTAATTTACAATCTAATCATCGCCTGCGATCAGGTCAATTTTTGGACCTGGGCTATCAGACGTACTTAGCTATTTTAGAGATTTCTTTACAGCGTGATGAAATTCGACACTCGATACAAATAAAGGAGTTAAAACATACACAATCTTTTTTTTAGTGAGCTAAAACTAGCTAAAGCACCAGGTCATGAAAGCCTTGTAGCCAAACTAATTTTGGAATTTGAATCATTAAGATCAGTTTGATTTTCTATAAATTTATTTCGAACTTAATATATACCATACAATAGTACTTCTTAATTAGCCATAATATATAGAAATATTTCCCCCCTCTTTATTCACAGTTTTGTTATTATCTATCATATGATTGAATTCCACAACACTAGAAGCAAAGGACATTCCAGGAGATAGGAGCAGGATGGCGGCTGCACAGAGCAGATGACTAGAGGAAGCTGGCGGAAAAGTCCAAGATTGGTTCACTCATTATTGAATCATAAAGCCGAGATAGATACATACATTTTTTTTAACTCTTAAAAATGTGAATAACTATAATAATAATAAACTTTAAAAAAATTTAAATCCGTTTAAGGCAATGTGTTAACTGAACTACATATTATTTATTATAATAAGACCTATTTTGGCTCATGTCACTAAAAGATCTAAAATTATATTTCTTTTATTAAGGGACAGTCATACTATTTCATTCTCTAATAGGAGGAGTGTTGAAATAAAATAACTAAAATTAATTTATGACTTAAAGACATAGAAAGTTACCGAAGTTTCTAAAATATTACTAGTAAGATACTTAGTGAACCTGCTATACTAATCACCATCTTGGCTGTATGTATTAGTTGTTACCTATGCTATTGCTAACTCATACTGTTGCATAATTTCAATGTGTTGCTTTGTTTTGTATTTGAAGTGTTTAAGTATACTCTAATAAAACCAACAGGATTAATGTTTAATAAATTAATGTACCTTATATATCATATAACTGTTAGTAAATTTGATGAATCGGTCTGTAGAAAATGATTTATGATTTCAAATGAGAATCTATGGAAAGGAAAAATATCAAATTTTTAAAAAAATAATAACAGTGATGGTAAAAAGGCAAGAGGTCTATGGTGATGGGTGGGTGTGAAATCATGAAGGTTGCAATGCAATAACCTTATTAAAATATCAAGAAAAAAGATTTACCTTAAACTTGGAAAATCGTAGTTTAAATGCAAATCCATAGTACTTAAGTTGTTTTAATTACGCCCCAAGACCAGATAGCGACACATGAACATACATATGAAATAAATACAGCAGTAAACTTTTATATAATAACCAATAACACGCACTGAAAGACAGACATGAGCACTACATGGCTGTAGGATTTGATCGATCAGCATTTCATTAATTAAATATATTTTTAAGCTTCTTTATTTCACAAGAGTTAATAAAATTAGGTTGAATTTACCAAATTTCAATCAATAATCTACATATAATATGACTTAAACATAATGCTTAAGTCACTTCTATACTAATGTATATTTGTAAATAGGATAGGTCGGTCATCTAAATATTCTTTCCAACACACTGCTTGTTTTAGCGTTTCATGTACAGTGTAATCCATGTGATTTTGGTGTACATCCAGAAGTGACACCAATATTATATTATTACGCAGTTTTTTATAAACACTATTGTACTTAATGAAACATCAAGGGTTAATACTTAATTCAGCTGGGCATTCAGTAGTACAGAATTCAGTCTTTAATACAGAATTTACAAATCAAACACAGATTGCAAATTATGTTTACAACAAATTGTAAATGTTCATATTATCTCAATAACAATAAGCAAAATACCATATTAATTGAATATGAAGCTTCAAGCTTCAATTTAAAGAACACAGGGTTAGAAAACCAAGAAATAGGTACAACCTGACCAATGCATTAACTCAAATCATTACTAAGGAATACAAATAATTAAAATAACATGTACATGGACTGTGACACATTTACCATGCACGGTTACAAACCATCAGGACTACAATAACTGACCAAGTTAAACAAGCTTTTTCTTGTAATTAATTATTAACTAGACCAGCTATGCTATCTCTAAATCATGCCATCAAATATTGTTAACCTATAATTGGTTAAGTATAAAGTTAATAGATCTAATGTTATTTAAATTTGATTAGTCCTAAAGCTGATTGCTCAATCGACAGAAAACATTGAAAACAATTCAACAAATAGTGGTTTAATTCCAATACAAAAAATATCTTTCTACAAGATTTACCAAACACTAAATCACCGACAAATATTATTTAAGCATAAGTATACAAAACAGTTTATTTACACTAATGCTTAGCCTTAGGTACATTTAAAAACGAACATATAAAAGTAAATGAAGCATGGTAAGAAGACAATTTAACCTCACTAAACTACATGTGGTTAGCATATTAATTATAAAAACATGCATCAATGTAACTAATAGATAATTCGAGTATATTAAATATTAAATTATCACTTAATTACCTTCTTTTTCTTCGATATGGGAGTCGCGCAAGTCATTATATTGCTTATGCTTGAACCGCGTGGTGTGTCAACTCACAAAATGGCTTTGAAACAGGTCGGGAAGCATGGAACTATGTTCAGTGACGAATTGGTCAGCAATGAGGTATAAAGAACGAGATAAACGAGCAATAAGGTATCTTTCAAAGCGAACTGGTTTAAGATTTCTTTTTTTTTAATTAAAGAAAAATATTTCTTCATTTAAAATTAAAACTATCGAGATGGTGTGACTAACGAATGAGTTTCCTATATATTCGACGTCTGTTGTTAAAAAAATATCACACGAAAGTAAATTGATTTGTAATTTTTTTTTTTAATGATTACATTGGTTTACTTTAAATCGAATTTGTAATAAAAACTTGTATACATTATAGCTATCAACGGATTGTGTAATTTAGAGTATATTTTGATTTGTTAAATTAATGTTGTTTTTTTTCATTTATAGCCCCAGGAATTTCTCTCCTTCTCCTCACCCTTGATTTTCCTCAAGCCCGCTTAGTACCGCGCTATAGTGGAGTTTAAAAACAGGCTGGAGTTACAAAAAAAATCCAGTTTCCCACCAGTCTAAAAAAAATTATAGTCCGTCCGTTGAACAAAGTTCCGGTTCCCCCCAAAGTTTTCAATTTCAGGCCCATTTCCATTCGCTCTAACCTTTTAAAAACTTATTGAAAGACCATTCACACCTTAATACCTTCCTAGAGCAAAAAGATCTCATCAATCCTTTCCGATCTGGTTTCCGATCCCAGTTCTCCACCTAATCTGATTTGTTGAATATTACTCAAGACCATATTCTCCTTAGACGTACAGAAAATCTCTATCCTAGTTCTCTTTGAATTTTAAAAATCCTTCTTCAGTTAATTACGAAATCCTCCTTTCCAAACTCCAAAACCGTTCCATATCCAATAGCGTTCCTTTTTGTATCACAGATTCCAAACAGTTATTTTTTCCAATAAAACTCCTTTCTCCCCTCTCTTACTAACTCGTGGTGTTTCATCAGGGATCTTCGCTCTCTCCAACTCTTTTCTCCATCTATACTGCTCAAAAATGAATGGGGATGTTTATATTTGATGCTTACTTTATTGGGTTTTAATTAACCAATATACCAAAATACACTATTTTCTTTTGTTCGTTAGGGATACTTTTATTTGTTGGTAACCATAAAACGTAAACAAAAAGTATTCTTTATTTTTAATAAATTATTAACTAAAAGATAGTCAACATGAAGAATGCTCATTTTATAAACCAACAGTTGTTTTCGACTTTTCTCAATTTGAATTCAGTAAAATTCTGTTTAACGAAGGTAAGACATCATATTGAACCAGAAGTTCACCATATTATTGTGAGCATGATAGGTTAAGGGCTCCGGCAAATGTATATCGCCGATGCAGCTGCCGACTCTCAGATTGTGGTCTCTCGAGTTTTAACCACATTGAGGAAAACCGGAACTACCAAAAAGGGATCTGTTAGTGGATATCAGTACATTACGGCAACAAGGGATCACAGAAATTTTGGTATTACTGCAAGAAGCAAACCTTTTCATATTGCTCGACAGAGCCTAAATGAAGTGTTGAATATTCCCCCATGACCCATAATAACACAAACCATTCGTATTCGTTTGTGGGAAAATGGCCTAACATCTTCTGCTTCTTTAAGGCAACCTGCAGCAACTGTGCGTCGTCTGCAACACCGCAGATCATGGTGCAGTGAGAGGATACAAATTGGAATGCTGTTATGTTTACAGACAAGTCGAATTTCTTTGATTATAGGGATCGTAGCGTCGAACAATCTACCGAGAATAGGGGATGGGTACACCGTCACATCTTGTGTTTCCTTCAATACAGTCAAGAGGTGCAATCTACTCAAGAGGTAGGGCTCTACTCATTATTGTGGAAGGTGAGATCATTGCAGTTCGTTATGTTCAAGAAATTATAGAGGAGTACATTCCTCAAATCAGGGCGATAATTGAAACATATTTTCATTTCCTTTACGAATATACGTGAACTCATAGAGGAAAAGTTGTTCATCTATGCCTTGAAAATCTTGACATTTCACATCTTCCCCTTCCAGTATTATCTCCAAATCTCAATCTCATTGAGTACATGGATGGAGGAATGCACTGTTGAGAAAAAATGTTTGACCACCATTTGCAGTTTCTTAACCTTCTGGTAATGACAGTAGTATTACCATGTTTATGGTATGAAATTACTTGTGAAATCAGTGATAACATTATAAATGGTATGCTCAATAGGTGCAAAAAGGTAGTGCGTGACATCGGGTATTAAACAAATTATTAAATTTTACTAAATTTAACAATTCTCATCCATAAAAACAAGATCACGTAAAACTTAATTTTATAATTTTTTAAAAACACCTTTATAAAAGTTCCCGAGGTCAAGTACAATCTTATTTATATTAATTTTCAATATATTTATATGATAAAAATAAAATTAAAATTCTAGAGAAAATAAATTCTTAATAATATTCCTATTCATTTTTGAGCAGTATATATATACGACCTCTCAAACTCCATCCATCATTTACAATATCTCTTAAATGCTGAAAACCTCCAAATCTATCTTTCCTTCTATACTATCGAGATGCTTGATGCGATCCGAAGGCTACAAGAAGATCAAGGTTTATGAAACTATCAGGTTCGCTCACTCAGAAGTGGGAAGTGGGGGGACTTGAATCGTCACGTAAGGACTAGACCGCCATACCTACCTATTGCTCTTTCGAGCTTATCACTGAAGGTTTATTTGAATATAATTTTACTTTTTTTTTTTTTGTCCTCTTACTTAATTTATTGAAGAGAATGCCTTTGAGACTTGTTAACGTTGGATTGAAGAGCACTTCGAGTAGATAAATACATAAATAAGATTAGCAACCTAGAATAAACTGTTATGAAAATCACAGACTAGACCTGAAATGGAAAGAGATAAATTGATAGCAAGATGATTTTAAAATTATTTATTCTAAAATCACTTACAGTGAATAATAGGCAAGAAACAAAACAAAAGTCCAGCAACATTTGTGTTGTGATTTTTTGTAATAGATCTCACGAATATTTCTTTTAATATTTGTACCTCTGAGGTCAAATTTCTTATAAACAACTTGAAACCTCGAAAATCCCCTAGACACGATCTATTTACTTCCTAGATCCTTAGACAACTTCCCAAAAAAGCAATCATATTCCTCACATACCTATATAACTGTAACCTCCGCACAACTCACTTTTCTCTCATATGGGAACACTCCATTATTATCCTCTTCCCTAAATCAGGAAAACCTTTTAATAATACCTCATACTATAGACCAATAAGCTTGGCTTGATCCTCTCAAAAATCTTTGAAAAAATCCTTCTCAAACGAATCCTACCCATTCTCGAAACCAACAATATCCCCTCCCATCACTTTGGATTCCGCTCAAAACATTCCACTGTTCAACAAGGCCTCCGCGTTGTTGACCATATATCTTCTGCGCTTGACAACAAGCAATATTGCACTGGTGCCTTTCTAGACGTAGCGCGAGCTTTCGACCGGGTGTGGCACGATGGATTGCTTTTCAAGCTTAAAACCCACTCACCCCAATCCTTGTACCCAGTCCTCAATTCCTACCTTGCAAATCGTTCCTTTCAAGTCCGCTGTGGCACTGAATTCTCCAATTATTATCCAGTTGAGGCTGGTGTTCCACAAGGTAGTGTCCCAGTTCTCTACATCCTTTTCACAGCTGACATCCCAACCCATCCTAATACCATTCTAGCATCATTTTCCGACGATACCGCCATCCTATCATCCCACCCAGACCCTAACCTAAACAGCATCCCTAACCTAAAAAGACACATCTCCCTAATATAGCAATGGTGCAAAAATTGGCGCATCAAGATCAATGAATCAAAATGCAAGCATGTCGCCTTTATCCTCCGACGCAGATCCTGTCCACCTCTCCTTTTCAACTCAGTACCTCTTCCCATCTCAGACACCGTTCGGTATCTTGGATTCCTTTTAGACAAAATACTAACATGGAACCCATATACCAGACTTAAAAGACAAGAGCTTAACCGACGATTTGGCCAGTTATACAGACTACTTAACAGAAAATCTAACCTCTCAATCGGAAGCAAACTATTAATATACAAGACCATACTGAAACCCATCTGGACCTACGGACTTGAACTGTGGGAGACTGCTAAATTTTCAAACATCAAACGCATCCAATCCTTCCAGTCTAAAGTCCTCCGTATAATAGTCAATGCTCCTTATTATGTTACGAACAAAACCTTAAGTCATGACCTTAACATCCCTTATATCCTTGACGTTATTTCATCCCGATTTTCATCAGAACATAATCCATCATCCTCATCCCTTAGCACAATCCTTATCCAGTTCCAGTCATACCTACAATTCTCCTCGAAGGTTGAACGGGCAGTGGGCTCGAGATCTTTTGTAAATACGTCACTGGAGTCCTGGAGTCACTGGCCAGCTTCTCCACTCAAGTCATGAGCGTATGTGGCTTTAGTTCCCTCTCTTAGTCTCCACTGGATTCCCATCCTAGTGATGCGGCTGAGAGAGAAGCGCTGGGATCTCTTTGAGTATTGCCTTATCCTTCACACATGGGGAAAAAGGTCCAACTCGGAGCTCCCTCGGCTGACTGTAAATATTGTGAATAAGTATCAATGTGTTTTTAATTTTTTTTTTCATTATTGTTGTCTCATGTTTGATTTATTCTGTTATTCCAAGTTTTCTTTTCTTTTCTTTTTTATAATCTTGTTTTTATTTTATTTTATATATGGTATGTTTGTGTTTTATACATCCTGAATACTCGATGCCCTTAATTGAGGCAAAATGGATTTTTTTCTTAATAAAATATTAGATAGAAATTATAAAAAAAAATTTGGCAATTATTGTGTTGTCCAATATTATTATATCACAAATACATTAGAAGAGAAGATAGGTTGTGGTGTTCAGTCACAAAAAATGAAAAGTAAATAAATTATATTTCTTTATATTTTTGTCGACGTTTTGGCCCAAAGTTCAGGTCTTCATCAAGACTAAGAAAAAAAAAACACAGATAACAATGGGTGTGAGAAAATATTAACATTAAAAAGAAAATAATTATATATAGGTGAAATAAGTAATAATTAGTACAAAAATAATTCTCTTATACGTAGTCAGTATGTTTTGATGGATTTTATAGTATCTTAATTTTTCTTTTTACATCTATTATTTTCTTTATATAACTTCATATTCCTTTTCCCTCTTTTATATTTTATTCTATCATCATCTCACTTCCTTCTAGCATACTAAGACATCATATTTTAGCAACCACTTCACCCCACTTATTTTATGTCTACACTTCCGTTTTTCATCTGATATATTCCATTACATTTCGTCGTTAATTTATTTTTCATTTTTTATGTTACCTTATTTCATTCATTATTTTTATTTCATTAGTCCCTACTTTGTTATCCTTATTATTTATTTCATAGTTTCCTGTTAGTTTTATTATTTTATTCATACTTTCCTAACTTGATCACAGTTATGTTATATATCCTAACTTTGTTTTCACTACCTACCTATTTTATTTTACTTTCGGTTTAGTCTACCTACATTTTTAGAGTATTTTCTTTTTAATGTTAATAGCTTTTCATACCCGTTGTTATCTGTTTTTTTCTTAGACCTGAACTTTGTGCCGAAACATCCAAAGAAAGAAAATTAAATAAAATTTATTTATTTTAATTTTTTTTTTTTTACTCAACTTCCCAACCAATCTTTTCTTCAATTATTCACTACAGTCAACCACCAATCAACAATCACAAACATATTATTGTTTTCCCGTTTAGGCGAATATTTTAAACTTATTTTTAGTAAATTTTGAAGAAAATGAACCACAATTCTGTGCTTCGGAGGTCTAGGACACCGTGCCCATTTTTTTATTTAAATAAGTTAGTAACTAAGTAACAAATTTTAATAGCTCAAAGTTATGGAAAATGGACTCCCTGACTCAATACAGAAATGTTACATGGTGACCTTTACCTCTGGGTTACAGATTTAGTAACAAAGAAATAAATGTTAATAGCTAAAAGTGTTTTAGCATTTTATTCTATCACTATCTCACTTTCTTTTAGCATAATAAGACATCAAATATTAGCAACTACGTAACTCTTAGAATAAAAAAATCAATTTCAGAGTTCAGTTTCCATAAGAAATCGAGGAGGTCTGATTCGATCATCTTCAGATTTTCCCGGCTCTGTCTAATTAGTGAACAAAAATTTCCTAGTATGACTTTAGAAACAAGACTATCGAAAGCAATACGAATCATTACTGATGTAATGATGATATAATTATTACAACAAATTGCTTTTGCACTGTTGTTTGATTATGAATTTCTTTATAGATATGCCTCACATTCAGACACCGATTTGAACAACAAATAGAGAAAGTTGAAGCTATTTGTCACTGGTGGGATTTAATGCTTACTCGCTCAAACCTCACTCTTTTTTTACCCTATAGTGAGAGTTTAAACGAAATTTTACTATATCACTTTTTAGGCAACCAACTATTAATAAAAGTTTTTTTTTCCTTCGGAACCTGCCAAAATAATTGTATATATGAATTATATTTCTAACAGAAGGTTGTATTTGAAGTACATGCGAACTCTTCTGCTATCTGGGCGGCTGATAAAGTGCCTTTTTGCTCAAAACTTTGATGAATATACCTTTGTGCCCTCCCATTTAATTTTGGTGGCCGTTCTGATCGGGGTTTATTTAAAACTTTCTAAACGTTTGTGCAATATTGTGAACACTAATAAAACTCATTTCTGATTTATTCGGTATTTGTCGGTAACTAAGTCCATTAGAATGTAATTTAATGATGTTTTTTTTTTAAACTGACGCAATATTGACTGGTTTACCCATATTGTTATGGCAAATGTACAGCAAAGACTGATTTTTATTGTTGTGATTGTATCATCGTCAATCCTCGTTACTAAACTCTTAAAAGGATTGATTGAAAGAAAAAGGATTGATTTGTTTTGACTGGAGCTAATAGTAAACATTTAAAACTGTGTCAATACTTTTTTGGCCCACAAAATTTACTCTTTTTTTTTACCTTAAACATAGCTATTGAGTTCTGAACATGCATTGCTTATAAAATATAATAATCAAAGACCACTTTGTTATATAACTATTATTTCTGGAAAATATCTTAATCCTATTGAGATTTGCATAAAAATTGGAGTGTGCCAATACTTTTTTGACCCACTGTACCTGGCTGATATTAAAGACCATTTAATTGTACATTGAAATACCGAGTTTAATCAAAATCGTTGGGGCCGTTTTCAAGAAAATACTAAAATTTGCAAAATAAATAATATAAATTGGGATTTCGGTCACTGACGGATCTAGCTTTTGGGCTGAAGCCACCCTCTCCCCAATCGGAATTTTTTTTTTTTTTCATTAGTCCATATTTTTTGTAAGCACTGTGAGTGATATATATATATATTTAATTATTGAATAATAATACAATCAGGCAATGCTTGAGGGCTATAAGTATTAAGGCTAAAAGTTCTCATTCATACAATATATACAAATAATAGAGAAATAACTATAAATACAAACACGTAAATAAATAATATTGATAAAAAAATAAATAAATAAGAAAAAATAAACAAATAAAGTGAAATAAAAACTTCTAAACACATTCATGCCTATATATTGTAATATATACATTCGCCCAGGAATCTCCAAGCCAGGCTTTTCCCCTTACATGTGGAAGTCATAGCAGGGTGAGTGATATAAGCTAAATACTTAGACCATCACAATATGTTTTATTTTTAAAATTATAATATATACACAGTTACTAAATGTAACCTTGTCTTAGGAAAAAAATACAAAAGTTATCTCTAAAAGTAATATTTTTCGTGTGCTTACTTTTTTTTTTTTATCAAGGCTTCAAGAATCACTTTAACTTCATTTCAAATAGTTTTTTTTTCTAAAATGATTACTGTTTTATATATTGGACTTAATTATATTCGATATATATAAAGATTTCGAGTTTAATCCTCCAAAATTAAATCGTGGATTCGCTACTGCTTCCGGTTAGCCGATTTCAAGGGAAGAGTTGCTGTAAAGTCCTAGGCATATTCCTACTTTAATTTAGTCGAACAACTTATTGTTTTTGAGCTGTTGAAGCAAGGGTGTTGACGGCACACACTCACACAGACCATTTCCCTTACTATTTATTACAGACATATATAAGTAAAACTAAAAATTGTGTCCCGTCCTCTATAATTAAATCCTGTATCATATACTGATAGGATCCGGAAGTATATCATAACCTCCAAAAGAACAGAACATAAAATTTGCACGAATAGTGGGGTAAAATTCAGCCAGAATTTCATATGTATCTTGTTTTTACTATTCCAAAACATAGATACAAATAGATTTAATACAAAACAGTGATTGCTAAAAAAAAATAATAGCGTGAGCTCACGGGTGACATTGGATCCGGTTCTAAACAGTCGAAACCATGAGTATTAGTTCGAAATGAGTTAATGATATGGTTCTTTTCTAGAAGTCAGAAATTGTATTTTCAATACTCAAGATTGAGTGAGATCATAGTTAATCATCATCTTAAATTTTATTCTGTACTAAATAATCTCTTTGGTATTGTAAAACCTCAATTCAATTTTTGTTCTGGGTAACAGCTGTGCGTAGTTCAAATTCTTTCAGGGTTGGAATTGAACTTTTTATTTTTGAATTTAATAATGCCTGTTAAAATTTGTCGTTCATTGAACCAATTAGCGAATAGTTGTCTTAGACAAGCTAATATACAAGTAACCAGAAATGTAATCATTTTCATTAACTATTTTCGTTAGACTTTAAGTAGTATATTTTTACTTGTATATCATGATTTTTTAAATGTAAATGCCTTTATTTTGTTGCCAGTTTTATATTTCGATTTTTAAGGTTAACTATTAATTTCAGGCTTCTACATTATCTGATTTTGATATTCAGCACAAGACACCTGTAGTAAGGAAAGTTGTAAGTGTTATTCCAATTTTTTTTTTTTAAAGTTATTAAGTGTTCAACCTTCTTTATGAGTTTTTTTACATTGCATTAATAATGGAAATATATTACAGTAGCATATTGGTTGGTCTATTCTACATTATCAAGTGTAAATTATTGACTATTTGCATTTTACATTGTAAACTAATAAAAAGAATGTTTGTATCACTTTATTTATGTTACAACTACCCTATATTTATATATTTTAAAAGTGTATTGGAATGTTTAACAATCAGAATATAAATGCAGTTCAATTTTAATGTGAATAATCACTGGTTTGCCGTTTTATCTCTGTGTTTAATCCATTGAATCAGTTTAGTATCTAAATTAGTGTAAGGGGCTTTCTTCTCTCATAACAGTATTAAAACAACTTCAATGACTTAGTACAGAAATTCAAATATTACAATGCTGTAAGAGCTCTTACACTAAATTAATTTTCACAGGTAGTATACTAATATGTACAGTGACCGAAGAAAGTATTTGCACACCACATTTTTTGTATTAAATTATGAATTTATGCAATAAAAAACCTTATTATTCAAAAATCAAGAGTACATTTATAACTTAATAACTACAAATAAAATTCAAATGAAAAACTTCTTTAATAAAAAAACAAAACATCAAACTTACAAAAAATACAGAAAAACAGTATTTGCATACCTTGTGTTTTATTATTATATTTTAAATTTAATATTTTGTATGAAGTCCGTAGGAATCTATTACCGCTTGTTAACGTCTCGGCATTGAGTGAATGAGGTTTTTAATTAAATCCGTGTTAATTTGTTCCCATTTTTGCTGTAAAATATCCTTGAGGTGGTGTCTTCCGGTTATTTGGTTTTTTCAAACTTTTTATCTAAAATATGCCACAAATTTTCTATTATGTTTAAGTCAGGAGACTGGAGGAATATGAAGTTGTTGGTGGATGTTGAATATTAACCATTCTTTAGTTTTGTTTGCTGTATATTTCTGATCATTATCACGCCTAAAAAATAAACCGATCCTGAATTCCTGATTTGGCTGCACTGGCTAGTAGGTTATGGCACAAAATCTTGATTTAACCTTCTGCATTTAAAATCGCTTCAATAGGCTCGAGATTTCCTACCCCATTATAAGCCACGCCTTTTCAAACCATTACACTCTCACCTCCATGTTTTACAGTAACTGAGACGTTTTGCTTCCTGAATTCTTCACTTTTCCTTAGCCATATCGTCTTTCTGCCATCAGATCCAAACAGATTAAATTTACTCTCATCAGTGAATAATACATTTTCCCAAAAACTGATGGACGTGTTGATGTAATTCTTAGCAAATAAGAGCCTTTTTTTGCAATTGGGTTTGGGTGCAATTTTCTGTTTGTCTATGGCAGATTGGAGGTCTTGGGTGATCTTTAACATGGCAGATTGGGTGGGTTATTGGGAATAAAAACCGGATTTTAATGGATTGAGATGACGGTTTTGCTTAAGAAAGTTATTCAACTGAGAGTGGACTAATCTAATCTTTCTAGAGCCTTAGATAAAATGTAAATGGGTCTGAAATCAGAAGCTAATGAAGGTACAGGAACTTAGTTCAATGACCGGACAATGACTTTTTTCCCTGCTTAAGGAAAAATGGAATTTTGAAGGGAAAAATTTTAATTGTGTGATAGTGTAGAAAGTAAGGATGGGAAGGAGAGTTTAATGATTTTCACAGGTATTTGGTAAAGACCATAGTCATTAGTTTTGGATTTAAAGATTGAAGAGAGTAAGTCTGTTGGAGAAATATCAAGAAAGCAAAACTTATTAGGGTCAAAGGAGGTTTCAGTGATGGCAAAAAGTGAGTGGTTAAATGTGGATAAAGAATAAAGATGGTCTGCAAAAAAGGAGTTTAGTTCGTTCGGATCTACTGAATAAAGTGTGCAGGTTTTGGAGCTGATGACAGAGTGGTTCCTGAGGATTGTCCATTTGGATTTAGGATTAGGTACTTGGGGTAATACATTGTTAAGGTATTGCGCTTTGGCACGGCGTAAGAATATTTGTTGTGTGCTGTTTTGTGGAGAATTGAAGATAGTATAGTGTTGGGGCAGTTGTGTACGTCTGTATCGTTTTCTGGCATCCTCTCTTCTTCTCATTAACTCTCTAGTTTCTGGATTTATCCAGGGAGCAGGGAAATGTCTAAAAATACGGGTTTTAAGAGGAGCGTGATGATTAAGGAAGTCAAGGAGGTTAGAAGAAAGCATTCCACCGTGCCATTTATGAAGGAAAGGGAGTAGATTGGTTCGAAGGAAACTGATAAGGACTGATGTTCTTAATGGTTAGAGTCTCAAGATCTCTTAAGGAAATTTGTTTGGGGGTAAGTGTGGGTATAATAACATTATATGAGATTTCGATAAGATCATAAGATAAGAGAAAGGAAACAGGATTTTGAGAGGAGGAAAAGAGGTATTGAGGGGAATCAATGATAAATAAGTTCCACCAGGTATGAGTGGATATGATGGGTATGGTGGGTGTGTTGAAAGGGTACAATAAATAGATCTACTGAGAAAAACGGGTCAATAAGAAGGTATGTTCTGTCCGGAGAGTCTGAAAGGAGGTTGGTGTTGAGTGCATCTTTAATTATGACATTTTTAAAGAGAGGAATGAATATATGTAAGGAGGTAGGATTCAAAAGTGGGATCAAATCAGAGGGATGGTAAATAATGATATAGGGTAGAAATAATGTTCTAGAGCACAAACTTGAACAAATAGATATTCAGTGTGCCGGATGTCAGAAGTAGAAGATTTTAAAAGGATTTTTGTCCTCAAACTATCGTGAACGAACAGACCGACTCCGAAGAATGAGGCCATAGTCAGGTAAGGAAACGGATGGTGGGGGGATATTGGGTTTGAGCCAAGTTTTGGATATTACAATGATGTTAAAGAAAACGGGGTGAAAATAATCGAGGAATTCGTCATAATGTGTTGGAAGGGATTGGGAGTTAATGTGGCAGGGTATGAAGGTATTAGTCATGAAGGAATTAAATAAAGGACAAACAGTGGGGTGGGGGAGAATGGATTCAAGATTAGAGGAGGAAGTACATTTTTAAACTGTATATTGTAAAATAAAGTAAATAGTAAAATAGAAAAATAAAAGTGAATTTTAACTAAAAATTGTAAGCTGAATGAGCATAGAAAAAAAAAGGGAGGGGGTTTATTTAAAATAAAGTAAAAAGCTCCTGCCTTTCAAAATAATATTAGGGGGACTGGAAAGTAATGTTGTTTTCTTACATTAAATTCAAACACATAAATTTCACACGAGTTTTTATTTTTAATCATAGATGGATCCTCATTATCAACAACCTGTTACCATCTAGTGTGCAATTTCAAAGCAGAATCGATAAAAATCAATTGGTTTTTGAGTAAAATCTATAGAGATCTTATTGTGGACATCATTCAAATTTGCAAATTTTTTGTTGCCATTTAGAAAGTGTTGAAACGATCCTAACCAATGGAAATCCGATGATGCAACATCGGCGAGTATGGTGGATGAGGCAGTACCTCCCACCCAAATTCATTATATTTTCCAGGATTCATTTTGCTCAGTGCGATCTTACATTTTCGTGTTGCAGAATAACGCCTTTTCTATTGACAAATGCTTGCCACTTTTTAATTGAAGATTGATTGTTAATCATGTCAATCCTGAGGGAGACAGATCCAATTGTTCACAATAAAGGTCTGCATTCACATTCTGTCCAGGTTTCAGCACTTCAAAATGAACAATGCTGGGAATACTCCCCCAGACACACAAAAAGGCCTTTTTCGGGTGTAAACCTGGCTTAACAGTACTTTGTGGCGATTCTTTTGAAGAGACTCCCTGCCTTTTGCATTTTGTACTTTGTGGCGATTCTTTTGAAGAGACTCCCTGCCTTTTGCATTTTGGATTATCATACAGAACTCATTTTTCATCTCCGGTGATCAAAAAACCCTTTTGTATTGTGCTGTTGAAGCAATAAGTTGTATGTAGTGGTTTCCCAATCTGCTGAAAATGTTCTTGGATGGTTGACCAAGGTTGGTTAAGACTATTTGACAGTTCCTCGATTGTCGGACACAAATTTGCTTCGACTTCCTCCCTTAACATGTCATAATCTAACGTTGTTGGTCTTCCTGATCTATACGAGTCAGAAGTCAGTGTGACTGCCTAAAGATATGACAATTTGCTAATTGCTATGGCAAATGGACTAATTGAAATGAAATGAAAATAATTTTATTATTCTGGGACTAGTGTCCCTTTAGAACAAGTTACAAATACAGAATATATATTAATATTTTGGTGTGTCCATAAAATACAATTTAATATTTACAGGTTGATTTGGGGTACAATAAAGTTATAAATGATAAAAAGATATAAATACGTGTAAATATAAGATATACAGAGAAAGTAATTAATTAAACGAAATATCAATGAATTAAAAAATAATCAGAGTATCTGGGTGTACTTTGAGGTTTTTACAGCTTAGGTTTTTAAGTGCATTTCGTGATCGATCGGATTGGGAATGGAGTAGGTGTTTGAAGAGGAGAGATTTGAAAGAGGATATTGATTTTGCGTTTCGAATATCTGAAGGTATAGAGTTCCAGAGGGAGACAACTTGTATTAAAAAGGATTTATCAAACGCAGCAGTTCGGTGAGGAGGAGGATAGAGGTCGGACGCACGGGATCTGGTGGGATGGGATTGAAGGGAGCGTTTGAATTGTAGGATCTGTAGAATATAGGCAGGTTGCCGTATTCTAATGGCTTGGTATAGGAAGGTAGCAAGGAAATATTAACGGTGGTAGGACGGATAAAGCCACTTCAACTTGTTGTAGAACTGGGTAATATGCGTATCCCTTGAGATCCCGAAGAAAAAGCGGATTGAGCAATTCATTAAATGTTTAAGTTTGGCTTCGAGTTCTCCCGAGAATCCACCATACACCATGCAGCCATAGTCGAAGTGGGGGAAAATAAGAGAGGAGACCAGGAGTTGAC